GATATGAATGAACTCGAGGGCTGTAATATAAAAAGGACATAATAAATATATATATATATATATATATATATATATATATATAGTTGTATGTGTATCTATTTTTTTAAATTTTTTATATATGTAAGTTAAGTACCTGTCTTGAGTGTCCGATCTATGTTATACTGTGGACCATCATTATTGTTCTATATATAAGGTTTACATTTTTTATTTATGACATGTCTTATATCCTGCAAATGATCGAAAAGACTAATTGAGTTATCATTATTATTATTGCATGAATGATTTTTTCCTTTCCACTCCTTTGATATGCGATGCAGGATTCCGACAATCTCCATCATCAGTTATCTAGGATCTAGGTGCTAAGATATACTAGCACCGGCTGTTCAAGGACTCTTTTCACTTTTGGGATCCGACTTTGGTTTCTAACTTTCAACAATAACTCCAACAGCGACCACAAGCTTGATTTCGCCTTGAATTTTTCAAACTTGCCTGAAGTTTTTTTATTCTTTTGAATTTGTACTATAATGTCGGAATTTGTCTTAATTCATTTGACAGACTCATAATTGTGTTGACAGGTACACATCCATAAAATGTAAAGGTAGCAACTGACTGTGGACGAAATTCGGCTAACCGAAGATAATTTTTTTATTCAGTCAAAACGAACAATAAATCCTGACTGTGAGGTTTTATTGGTTTATAAAAACACAGGTAGCATAGGTAAAATCATTCCAGATTGGTATCGGAAAACAGACTCACTGAAAAAGGTGCAGATAGTTGGTATTCACGACGAAAAAATATTGGATATTGCATAGACCTGGCTAATGCTTGATGGAAATCTGTTTATATTTATTCTGTTTCAAAATCTGTTTTTTCCGTTAATCAACTGTCGCCCCCATACGAACGACAACTCTCGGAAATTGAGAAACTTGTGCGAGCTAAGGACTAACGAGGTCTTACCATTTAACGTGTGATTCCTAACACAGATTATCAATAAAAAATCAATTTACTGTGAAATTTTCTTGATGAAGGTTTCACAAAAACCGCGACACGTGTTTCATTATAGAATAGCTACCTCAAGCCATAACGATAAAATAATTATTGATTGTTTCAAAAGTTGTGCCCGTTTTAATGAGTCTACTTTAAACTGTAATATTTCATTGGATACTCATTCAATTCAATCGAAACAAGTGTCATTTCAATCAGTGTACTTTTGCCAACGAAATACAAGTCGATTAATTTCATCAGCATGAATGTTGGGTGTTCGAGTTGACGAAGGCCGTTTTCGTCTGGTCCCGATTGGCGAAGGTTCTAACGATGAGAAAGTTAGCAATGTTTTTCAAAAGGTGGTAGTTGGTTGGTGAGAGGTCTGGGGAGTATGGTGGCTGAGACATAACTTCTATGATCAGATCACATCACAAATGTTAATAACCGTTTAAGAGTCTTGATGCATAGTTTTTATATCCTGAGAGACGTACATACCAGAAGAAATCTCCTTTTACTTTACAATTCCCTAGCTGAATCTGTAATGACCTACTGTATCACAGCATGGGGTGGGCCCTTCAATACTACACTTGATTCTCTGCAAAAAACACAAAATATTCTTCTAAGAATTATTCTGAAAAAAAAATAAACGCTATTCCACTGACTTGCTATACCAAGAATCACAGGTCTTGAATATAAAACTGTTATTTACTCACCAGTGTTTAAAAAGAATGTACATCAGACACGAAACATCTAACCAGAGAAAAACTGGAATAACCAGATCCACTAGTAATTTGAATCTCAGTATACAACTTTTCAGAAAATCTTTAACGCAAAAATCTTTCTTTTTCTTCGGCCCTAAATTCTTCAACTGCATTCCGATTGAATTGAAATGTATTCGAAAACTAGAACAATTCAAAAAAAAAACAAAGAAACATATTCTACAATTTTCAAACAAATTTTATAATATAATGAATAATAATTTAAGATGAACCTTACCTTTAAAAACTATCTGTTCTCCTCTGTAACTGACCCTGCTTGAAACGGTTTGGAATCCTCACCATTTGCAACTTATATTATATAATTATTTGTTATTTTTTTAAAAAAAGAAAAAATTCATTGAATTTATCATGTTAATTTTTCTACTAAATTTTTTCTCTACTCACTGCTTAGTTATAATCATAAAATGTACACTTTTTCAGAAAGTCTATAGATCTAGTACATGGCAGAACAGATAAACATATCTAGGCCAAGTTACTGGATCTGAGACTTTTGAAAAACACGATATGTTACATGTAAATATATAAACTGTACTTCAATATATCAATATATCAATATCAATATCAACTCGTTTAATTTTCGGACGGGCGTTATCTTAGGGCAGGATCACACCTCTTCTGTTGACTTGTGGTGGCTGCTCTTGACGCGATTTCCAGTACATTTCATCTACTTCCTCTCGATAGGACTCTGCTGTGATGGTTTGGACCGGTAGCAGAAAGTTATAGCCGCTGACCAGCATGGTCTATTTTTGGTGAGTTTTTGCCTTTGGGAAGTGTCTGGGTTGCCCATTGATACCCAACCGCTGTCTTGAACATCTCCTGTTATCATAGAGGATCCACTTTTCATGATACGTCACGATCCGATCCAAAAAAGGATAGTTTTGGTTGCGCAAAAGCAAAAAAGAATAGACCTCGAAACGTGACAATTCTTGTTGATCGTTCAAATCGTAATGGACACCTTTTTCGAGTTTTTTGATCTTTCCAATACATTTTGAACCATCAAAAACGGCGTGGGAGCTGACGCGTACTTCTTCAGCTATTGTGATGAGTCACTTTCTACCAGGGTAGTCAAATCCTCGTCCTGGATTATTGTAGGTCGTCCACTTGGAAGCTCATCTTCGAGGCTAAAATCTCCGGAACGAAATTTCGCAAATCAACGTCTAACAATGCGTTAATTAACACTATTATTGAAGACACCATCCTGTCAAGCCACGATGAACCCCTCAGCTTCCGACTTCAGCCCACTCCACCTGAGGAGAGCGAAAGTCAGGCGCTTGCATAAGCCTAGGTCTTCAATGTTTTCAAGAAAACCTCATGCGTTGGCTTATCCTTGAGTTGCCGCAGAAGTGATGTAATCTCTGCGGCTATTATATGAGCTGCTCGGGCAGCTGCCCTAAAGAAAAATGCTCTAACTGGTATAGGATGCTTCCATCTACGAGTTGCACATCCTCTCCGTAGTCTTCGCACCGTCATCTTTTGAGATGGACCATTGCACATTAGTCTATCCCGAATTTCATACAGATAGCATGCGTGTACTCTTCCACTACGCTTAAGGACTGATGGAGATCCTTGTCTGCAGAGGTATAAAGTTTAAGGTCATTCATATAAAACAAGTTGGTGACCTTGCGCCTTCGGTTTCAGGGGGTGCCACCTTTATACCCTCGAGTAATTCTGAGCGCAACGAATAATGGCAATACTGAGATGCAGAAGAGAAGGAGACCGAGGAATTCGCCCTGAAATACACCTCTTCTGAAAGTGACCCATCTTGTTTGGACTCTGGCTTGACCATTCTTTCTCATATGCCATCGAACCAGACACCGTGAAGTGTTACGCCGTGGTACAATTGTGTGCGAGGCGGGCAATGAACGTTTGTTAGAATCTAGCTCGATGCTTTATCTACAATATTTTACAATAAAAGTCCAACTTCGTAACGCAAGTAACTAGGGCTCGAAGACAATGAAAGTGTGAAGAAACGAGTGAATACCACTACTGAAATTTTATGGTTACTGGTTGTTTTGCTTCATTTTCATTACGATTCAAGTCCATACCGCGAAATGTGGGTTATACGGATTTTTTGTGTGACAAATATTAACGCTTTGTAGCTTTGTTTTTGCACCAGAGACATTACAGGTAGCTGCTCAAAGAGGCTGTAAAGTCTGATGACATATTCGACATCGTTATCGGATAATTTTTTTTTAATATTTTTTTTCTTCCCGGGAGCAGTCTCATGTGTTTAATTCTTCTAAACCTCCGGAAAAACATCACTTGCTTTTTTTCTGCCAGGACATAGGCTGCAGATGCACATCTACGCCGATAACGGGAGGATGCATATCTATAAGTGATTAAGTGATTTCGAGTTTGGCTAGAAGTAACCAAATTCAAATAAATTGAATGAGTTTTCACATGTTTCTATTGTTGATGTTGGACTTGATGTATTTCCAATATTTTGTTGCATCTTCCATATGAGAAAACCCAAAATGTGTTATAAGCGGGCCTTTTTGTAATGTCGTTTCAAAAAAGATGTCGATAGTGGAATAGAACATAAACCTCAACGTTTTGTTGTGTTAATGGAGATCTCTGCCATAGGCTCTATATGAATGTTACATTTTGGGTAATGAATATGCGTAATGAATTGTTCTTCGCCTATATGGTACAATTTTTCATTTTATCGAACAATTATTGTAATACTGCTTAGTTAGTTCGAACGACGAGGAAAACCACCCAAAACAAACACTTTCCCAAACACCAGAACGGCAATACTCTCCTCGACATACGTTTCATCGATCAAGTTGCTATCATCAGGTGATGAACTAGACGCTAAGCAAAATCATATTTTTTCCATTGGTTGAATTGTAAACAAAATCTCTATATTTCTCTGAAATAAATAGCAAGGAACCCAATGTTAAAGTATCATTCATAGTTATAAATCACAGTCAGCCATGGATTTGTTAGATTGAAATTAATAATATTAATTCATTAACATAATACAGGATAGCACCAGGCATTTCCTAGACAATCTTCCATAATTAAATTTCAAAGTACAGATACAAACATTTCAGAATCAAAAGTAATACCGAAGGTGAGGAACAGTTTAAGGATCAAGTAACTGAATAGTGCACATTCTATTTTTGATTCTCAACCTCTGAGAGCATGGAGTAGCAAATTTTTTCATTAATGTTCTTGGTTATAATTCTAGAAAAACAAATTATTGCTTCTAAGTCGATGAAAACGTATATTGTATTTGATACTTGACATTAGTTTGAACTGTTTGCAATCTGCACCTACACATACAAGCTACAACTAAAAAATTGAAATATTAGTAAAAGCTGAAAGTTAAAAATATTATTAACAAAAAATGAAAAATAAAAATTAAAAGATTCCAAACCAAGTTACGTCACGACGTTTCTATCATTTCAAATCATACATACATTCCATCGTTTCAAATCATACAGAAGAAGCTATTCGCATATGGGGACCTGAAAGATAGAACAAACCTACTGATACAAGTAATCATGGAATTACTAGGATGCTGTGTACGAAACTGCTACTTCCAACTGAAGGACGAATTCTTTACGCAAGATGAGGGACTTCCAATGGGATCGCCACTTTTACCGGGACACTTTCCAGAAGCACATCAACAACGTAAGTCCTTCCATCACTTTCACAATGTTGAAGGAAGTCCACAACGAATTGCCTTTCTTAGACGTATCGGTGAAGAGGACCGTCGCTAAGTGGAAAACATCTGTATATCGAAAACTCACTCACACAGGACAGTATCTGAACCAGAAATCCAACCACCATCAATTGACTGAGCGAGGAACCATCAAGACTCTATACTAGACCGTGCTTTCGGGCTCTGTAATACAAAGGTTGGTCTCGAAAAGGAACTAGGCATCATCAAAAACGACTTCCAACGGAATGGTTAGTCCAGGGTGATGATAGTACAGGCTTTAGCTAGAAGACAGCGAGAGCTCCACAAGGAAGAGAAGCCGACACAACCAGTACTTGTACCTCCCTACATCAGAGGATTATCGGAAAGGATAAGAAGAATTGGATCCAAGTACAACNTTCAACTACTTTTCAGGGATATTTTGGGGCTGAATTGAAAGAGTCAACATATGTACTTCATAACTTATAATAAAATAGCACATCTAATATGAAAAATAATAGTAGACAAACCTAAGAGTGCATGCATGTAGAATTAAAAAATTGGTGGATGGACTTCTAACAAATCAAATTATAATTCCAATCAGTATTTGTACATTAATTGGTGAGAATGTGGAATGACAATGAGTAGTTTTTCAATAGATTTCCATATTAGAAATAATTTCAAATTATTCATATTGAGTTGTATTCAATAAATGTTAACTGATTGGATATATAATTTTATGGGTTGGAATATCATCAGCCCACCTCCTAAAATAACTGAATGAGTTTTCAGGTGTTTCGATTATTGATGATGGAACTGATGTATTTTCAATATTCTGTTGCATCTTCCCTTTGAGAAAACTCAACAAGTGTTATAAGCGTGCCTTTTTGTAATGTCGTTTTAAAAAGATGTCGATAGTGGAATAGAACACAAACCTCAAAGTTTTGTTGTGTTAATGGAGATCTCTGCCATAGGCTCTCTATGAATGTTACATTTTGGATAGTAAATACGGGTAATGAATTGTTCTACGCCTACATGATTCAATTTTTCATTTTATTGAAGAATTGTTGTAATACTGCTCAGTTAGCTCGAACGACAAGAAAAACCACCTAAAACAAATACTTTTCCAAATACCAGAACTGCGATACTGTCCTCGACATACGTTTCATCGATTAAGTTGGTATCATCAGGTGATGAACTAGACGCTAAGCAAAATCACATTTTTTTCATTGGTTGAATTGTATACAATATCCCTATATTTCTCTGAAATAAAGGCATTCATAGTTAAAAATTACAGTTAGCCATGGATTCGTCAGATTGAAATCAATAATATTCATTTATTGATACAAAAATAGTTTCAATCCATGATGAAACGAATAAAATAATGCAGTTTTTTCACTTATAGTTGGAAAATTTCATCCGAAACTCCAAAGTCTGCCCTATAGGACGACAGGGTTCTGTATAAATGATGTTTTATATCTGAACTCTTCCGTATACGAGATATTGTGCAGCTTTTTCTGTGCATGACATCTGATCTAATTCCATAACGAATGTTTGGATTATAAACTAAATAGGAAACAATATTTTCCTATAATCCAATGTTCATTTGACAGTAGTTGTTTCTAGAGGGATTTTTCTTTTAGTTTGTATCTTGGAGTAACTTCCTTGCATGATCTACACATA